GAGGCAAACAAGGCCGTCGCCATTCTCAATAGCGGTTAAGGTGTTGCCGCAGCCTCTGTGTCGAGAGCAAGTGCATCAAAGAACAGATGTAAATAGTGAAACCACACTCCCCTCTCGAGCAGGAAACAGACATGTGAGAGCCTTGCTCCGAGAAGCCGCAAATACGTGCACAGGATGAGGAGGGTTCTACGTGATCAGGAACAAATTCTTTGGAAAACTTGCGAACAGTTTTTATGGGAAAATGTAAAACGACTCCCCCCGGGGGTGTCGATTGGGGGCCGGACTAACCTAAAGTAGAGAGGAACACCAAAAAATCTAGTTTTCCTTTAAATTTAATTTACTATATAAAGAATTATTATAGTTTAATTATTTTTTTATATTATAGAAAGCAAAATTATAAGCTAATAAGATATAAAGTTTTTATTATATAATAATTAGTAATTTTTTTAAAAAAATTTTAAAGAAGGTAAGGAAAGTCGGAATTCCCAAGGCACTATGAGAGCCCGAAAATTTAGCGATCAAGTGCCTGGAACTAATTTACCCCTTACGCAATTATTGCCTTGCCTGTTCCACGCCCCAAATTAGAGCTCTTATATATAAACTTCCTTATATTTATATTAGGAAATCTGATTCGGGAAAAGGACTCAAGTAAGTACAAGCAACTAACTAGGCATTATTAAAACTCTAAAATCTATTGATACGTCTAATCGACAACCAGTGTCGTTTTACATTTTCCCGTTTTTATAGCTAAGCACATTCGTTCGACATGACCCTCAAAAATGCTTGTTCCGCAAGGTATTTATGTAACCTTCAAGCCTTCTTCAGCTTTCCGTCCTCAAGCTTTTGCCCCCGAGAGAGTGGGAATAGATGCGTATGCTCATATCGAAGAGGCTCCCGGCCCGCTAGTTGATCCCGCATATCTACTAGGCAAGCCTGTAAGCGTCAACAACAACTAGGAAAAGCAGTACACCGAGAGAACGTGAGAGGAGGAAAGCAAGGTAGCGTACAATGCTCAATTATCATGAAGCGTAGCGTAAGATATGCAATAATGACCCCGACAAGACTAATAATCGCACCGGTAAGGCCGAATGCGATTGCAATTGATATATCCGAAGAGACTGTTTAAGGATTAGAGAAGAGCTGAAAGGGGTGCGTAAAAGCCTCGGTGCAGAGCTGCACGTGATGGGGCGTTTTTCGCAAGCCCTGGGTATAGCAAGGGTGACTTGCCCATGATTGTATTGGTTTGAATTGATGTTTGAAATCGACTTTGGAAATCCAGCTTCCTTGGTTTGGGCCAAGTGGTCGCGGTTGAGAATATATAATTGAAAGAAATGGATGGTATGGATTTGTTAGGTTTGCGGCAGCAGGCAGCCTTGCCGGAACTTATTTCTGGTGTTCGGCTGTGGCGGCGCCGGCTGTGGCTGTGTGGTTGCGCTTTTTGCTTACCATCGTACACAACGGTTCATACGGAGTAGGGCCACGGCAAGGCAGCTTAGGACAAAAATTATGCAGAGGGGTCGAACATTGACAGGGTCCCCACAAGCGGTTCAATCAAATCTCCTGGTGGCTGCCACATAACGAATCTTGAGCCACACATCGCTTAATGTGATTCGTTCTCAGGTCCCCCCCCTCCCCCCACTAATTGCACCGCTGTTGGAAGCGCGGAGCAGCAATCCTCCGGCAGCATTGCTGCCCATACATCGTCTACGGAGCCACTCCACGCCACACCTCCAGGAGGTAAGGCTGGTGCTGTGGCTTTTGCAGCTCAACCATACCAAAGTAGAAATGCGGGTTTAGCTTCTCACCTGCTACAGAATTCTGCAGTCTGAGCGCTCTGTGGCGTGCGCTCGGAGTGATCGAACTGCCTTTAACGTTAGCTAAAGGGCCCTCCGAAGGTTTTGCCACCTGGTTTTCTTACCGTGAGGCGAGGTCACGTTTTTGGGGCTCACTGCCTACATGTAATAGTGCCATTTCCCCCCTCGTTCGTTCAGGTTTTGGCATTGCGGCGCGTCGCGTTGCTTGCGCCACCTAAAAGTGCGCCTCGCTTAAAAATACTAATAAAAGTATGCCTTACTCAAAAATATATTAATTTCCTTATTAATAAATATAAATAAAACTTGTTTTATTTTTATTTTAGTTCTTTAAGTTATATATATTTAATTTTATTAATTAAATAAAATAATTTTATTATATTATTAAAGCTTTATTTTCTTCTTTATTTAAAAAGTTTATATAACTCAAATTATTATTAAAATTAATAGTTTTAGTTATAAATATAAGAATATATTAAATTAAAATATAATAAAATAATTCGTTATTAAGTAAAGCAGTTAAAGACTATATAACCGAAGTCCCTACCAAAAGCACGACCCCACCAAAAGCACGTGAATTGACGAGATTTCCCGAAACTTCCAAAAATTAGTATTTAATAACCATCTAATGGATTATAATAAAACTAAAGCAATACGTAGTATTAATTAAGAACTCGATATTATTTCAATTAAAAAAGCTATTTAAAGCGTTATAGTAAACTAATTGTCCGCATGGCTGTTTTCCTTGCTCCTACCACCATTGGTACTACCCCCTGATCTGGCAGAACCACATTAGGTTATACGGGCAGTTCCACTAGTACCTTTACCTTAGGGAGCGCCTTTGTCCGATTTAACACTCTCGGAGCAGCTTTTTTTACCTTCGGAATAGTATAATTTGGCTGCTTCTTTGGTATCTTTTTGGCCACCGTAGCTCGCTCCTTCCCCCCTCCCCCTCTTGCGGCCTTAGCCCCCCCTATAGCTTTCTCCTTCGCTTTCCTCTCTTTTTCTAGCTTATTTTTGAGGGCATTTGCGGCTCTCTTGATTTTTCTTTCCAATTTCGCCTCCTCCTCAGCTGCTTTTAGTACTTCCTTTTGCTCCTGATATTCCCTAGCCTTGACTACCTATACAGGAGAGTAGCAATCGACAATACCCTTATTTGGCTGGCTATAAAGATTCAAACGAACTCCTTGTCAACCCTTCTTTTTCTGGAGATTAATAGCCTTAAATAAGCCTCGGTTTTGGTATTATAGGCAAGCTACTTGTACAGAGAGATATAAGGTGGTAGCAAAGAGTTTCTTGACTTTGTCTTCAGTTAGTTCTTTATTATATATAAGCTGAAATCGACGAATTGCTTTTGAAGTCTTGGGTATACGTAATTCCTGAGCCTTTTCAGGTAAAGAGAGCGTGGGACGAGTAATAGTCTTAATAATTATGCTTCTATCTATTAGCCAGATACCCGATTTGCGAAAAGCAGATTGGATATTTTCCTTAGTAAAAGCTTTATTAAATGCGATCTTGAATCTCGGCCAAAAAAGCCCTTTTATTATTCTAATGGTTCCCATTATTTCGTCTATTAGCTTATTGATTTTAATAAAGTAATATATCGAGAGAGGTTAGAAAAGGCCCATATTAAGAGATTAAAGGCAATAGGTTATATGAGGTGGTAAAATCAGGAGAATTATACTATTTTGATTAGCCCAATCGACGAATGCCATATTAACGTGGCTTAAATATCCATCTACGATTAAAAGACGCTTTTGGGTCGTACGTTTGGGTTTGGTATAGCGTTCAAAGATCTTCTAAAGCCATACTAGCCCGATCGCATTATTAGACTATCTATTACTTGAAACCATAAAATGTGCCTTCGAATCTGTCTTTACTTTATTAACCCATATACTTATTAAATCGCCCGATTCGCCTTTATATATTAGAAGTAGTAGTATCCATTTTCCAATTACAGATATATAAGCCAAGATACTAATGAACTCCCGGCTTCTATCTTGCTTAGCCTTCATAATTCTCCCTAAACGTAAAGCTTCTTGTATTATTATTCTCTTCAAGGAATATCCAAACCCTATTAAGAATCCCTTTTTATCGAAATTATATATGTTTTCGGCTATAATTCTGTATTTTTCGATGACTATCGCAAGCTAGAGAGCCAGATACACGTTAGTAAGTATTTAAGTAATAAATACACGAAATAATATTAGAAAATAGCTTATAATACTGAAAAAGAGTTAAAATATTAGGGCATATTCGGCACCGGCTCGTAAATTATTAATATTACGAAGGTACAGGCTTTTTAGCCTAATACTATAGCGCTTAACAAAATGGCCCACCCAGTTCTTCCCTACTTCTGCTTCCCTGATTTCCTCTGCAAGATTCTTAATAATATAACTGGTGGGCGGCATTCCCCGATCCGTAAGGTGATTAATTCAATAAATTAGAACCTCTTCTTGCTTAATGGTAAGGCATTGGTGCCAAAATGAGTTGGCTTGCTGTCGAGTCTTCATAAGGCCCCGAATACATCGAGAAACAGCAGAACGCGAGTATTCATAGTACTTAGCTGCCTTGCTGTAATCAGTGAACTCCCCTCTTTGAATTGCACCAATTGCCTTCGTAATCCGAGCTGATTTGTCGATTCTAGCCATGGTTTTGGTACTGGTGGTGGGACGCGATTTAGCGTGTTTTTGGTCGGGTCGTGCTTTTGATAGGGAGTTCGGTTATAGGGTTTACTCTATTATATTATGTCAAAGTTGGGTCACTCTAGCTGCTGACATTCACTTCAGGTGACTAAGTGCGATTAATTGTCACAGGCACTGGCCGTTTCAATTAGACGTTTTGATCGTCAACCAGATCGTATCACGCTACGCTGCTGTTTTCTTGAAGCGAGACGTTGCGGTAGACAAGGAGACACTAGTCTTCGTTCTCTGCCGTCTGACATTGGTCACGTGATCATCCCACTGCTTTGGGATCGAGTTCCTACAACCCGTTATCAAGGAGCAGAGGACCTCTCTTCGTGACAATTCCTACACTACACAGCAAATTGCAGCAAGCAGTAGAATGAAATCAGATGGGGAAATGGGAACCTCAAAAACTGTAAGGGCGCCACTAAGCGGAGTAAAAGGTAGCCCGGGGAGGTCTTCTAGGCATGCCAGCCGAAGGAGTTCTGCGACGAAACGCAAGTGAGCCGAACAGAAGTTCAAATAATTATGAGACCTATGGAACGAGCTCCGAAAGATTCGTTGTCGATTTTCCCCATCCAGTTTATCCTCCACTGCCAAACTCCAGGTAACCAGTGACCATGTGGAGACTAAACGCCAGCTAAACCTTGAACTCAATCTCCTAGCTTGGTATTTGCCCCTGCATACTATGGCTCAAGCCAGAGTAGAAATTCGCTTTCGACTGGAAGGGGATTGCCCAGCGAAGTGCGTATGCTCGTGCCGAAGGATATAATCGTGATCGACGGGACGTTGACATGTGTTACGTCCTATAGATACGCGTTGTTAGCTACGGGCTATCATACAAGCTGGCCAGAGTGTCCACAAGAGTACTTTTCGAAGGGTAGCAACGAGAAGGGAGTCAGGACATAGGAGTTTGAGAGAAATACCGGTATCATCAAGACACATTGCTCGCAAAGTCAGGTAGCTGATCCACACACCAATTAGACTTATGCACACACTAACAATGCCAAAAGCGGTGCTGATAGAATCTGAGGAGCCTGCTGAGAGTATTACAAATTAGCCATCGTTGCACGGGGGTGGACGGTGTGGGAGGATGCGCAAGGCTGAAGTGAGAGAATTGAGCTTTGCACGTGGTGGCTTCCCCTGAGACAACTTACCCATTGTTTGTTTTGACTGGATCAAATCCAGTGACCAAATGCGACTTGTACGAAGAAAGGCTCGAAAATTTTCGATGCGGGTTTACATCTTTATACATCATACCGGAGGAGGAATGATGGGGACAGGTCCATGGGCTTCTGGGAGGGGTTGGCCGTGTTATCGTTGTTTTCGCATGCGCAAGGATTGTGACACCCACTTGGTATTAGACCACGGTGTCGATTGGCTGTGTTTCGTGCAGGCTTCCTGGATTTGTGAGGGACTCCCAGTGTGTCGCCTCATGTCAGCCTACAAATGAGCGACGGCAAGTTGAGCGCCCTTTTTTGAGCCAATAGAACTAAGCGATCCTCCAGTTCACCCCACACAAAGATTCGGTTACGTGCGAGATTTCCGGGCGCTGACCCTGGGTGACGAAAAAGGAAAGATCAATAGGCGCAGAAACGCCAAAACGCCACAATTGGTTAGCTCAAATATGCGCTCACACGGCAGCGAGGGCATTATCGAGTTTGAAACATTTCCCCTACCTCCCCAGGCAACACAAAGAGCTTTCCATCAGCTACCTCAACGGTCGCGATTCTAAGAGGCGTCTATAATGTCGGCAGCGTAGGAGGAACAGATCCATCCGTAACATCTTTCGTGGCCAGGCTACCGCAGGCCTTGATTTGGCGCACTCAGTGAAGGTTGTTGCATTTTGGAGAGCAATGGAGTCACTAAGCAAGCCTCACCAGCAACCGGAAGTAAATCAACTTAACTAGAATTTCTAGCACGATAGTAACCTTGAACTATAAGCCAGAAGCCAGATATGGGAGCCTTGTCCGACTAAGAGAAATGCAGAACGTAATCTCACTTCTCGGACAGGATAGGTCAATTGGGTTAAGGCTACGTAAACAATCTGACTCCAGCGCTGCAACCGAAAGCCAAGGAAGGAGCTTGCCATAAATAATAGATGAAGGAATTGGCGCCGGAGACCGCTAGTCATGTGTTGTTGACCGAGTGGACGAAGTGGAAAGAGTCTTGAACGGGAACCACAATGTCGAAGTATAAAATAAAGGACGTTGCTTTCTGAGAAGTAGCGAATAGCGATGCTCTTCACGCCACCTTCAGATCTCTATTTCCAGGCCCTTGTTGCTGAGACGACGGGAAGAGATGCGTATGAAGATGCTGAAAAACAGGTTCATGATCATCTCCACGCACTCGCCGATGCCGCTCATCTATCGAGGAAACTTGTGAGCATTGGGCCTTGCGGAGATAAAAGGAGAGAACAGAAAAACGTACACCTTTCCAATGTCATAGAGCGTAAAGTAAGACATGCAATAATGACGCCAACGAAACTGAGGCTTGCACCGATAAGTCCGAAGACAATTGCGATTGCTGCGTCTGAGGAGACTATTAGGGAGTCAGAGAAGTGGTGGGTAGTAAAAACGATCACGAGAACGTATATGAAGCCGCGAGGCTGGAGTCAAGTGACAATTGCACGTGATGACACTTCTCTGGCAACCTCGGATGGAGATGTGCAGGCGCTTACCCATGATTGCTTGACTCGAAATAATCTTTAACGTTTGGGTATTTGTTTGATGAGAGGTGGGCTCGAAAGAGCGGTGCTCGAGAGAATATATAGAACTAAATAAATGGGTGACCAGCCTTGGTGGTTCGAGCTCGCGCTGTGGGAACAAGGGTAAACCTGTACTCAACCTCATCCCCCACGAAAGTTTAGGCTTCAACACCCTTATGTGATTCGTCAGCACTGCCACAGCCACTTTGCCCCAGCATCACCAACCCGCGCCTTTCCGTCCGTTACAACGTATCAGGGCTATCAAATATCCGTTGAGCTGCCACCAGGGACGAATTTCCGTGATCAAATATACCGCAAAATTGCAGCAAATCAGAGGTCTTAAATCAATGAATCTGGCGATATGATTTGCTGATTCAGTTCGCTTAGATGTGCACGGGCCAATTCGTCCCTGGTGGCAGCGCAGCGGATAGCGAGACCAGAAAGCCAACAGCACGAGCTTTCACCCTTCACTCCCTGTCTATTTCTGACTGGGTTCAAGGCTTATTTCCATTTCACCGTTGCATCTTATTTCCGTTCTTGGACAAGCGACCCAGCTTGTGGCACGAAGGCGGGCGGCATTAGAAATCGTCCATCCGCTAAAAAGCGAGGAACACCGGATCTCAATGCAACCCCTAAAACTCTTTAAAACAACTTTGTGAGGTAGAAAAGAAGCATATCTAACTTTTATGGAATTTTCTCGATAATTAAATATAATACGGAATTACGAGAATTTTATATGTATATATATTGCGAGAGTCAAGGTTGTGCGCGCCCTCGCTTAGCGAATTGGTCGAGTTTTAATGCCGCCCGCCTTCGTAGACCAATCATAACTCAACAGCCTTGCAGCCGTTGATCTGACCCAATACGGCGAAGGGTAGGGCTGAGATCGAGACATAGTGCTTTGGGGAAGTACTGATTTCGGGAGTCATGGGTTCGTAGTGTTAAGTAATACTAATAGCGCTAATAAAGCCGAAGAATATGCTAATGAACCCGAAGGCGATGCTAATTGCGGCGTCTGTGGAGACTGGGTCCCAGTAAGCAAACTAATCGAAGGAAATAGAGGGCAGTATCGAGACGAGCACCAGAGTCGCAGAATCCTCGTCGTTATACAAAGTACATTTGTGGAAGACCCACCCATTGTTGAGCTAATTGAGCTGTGGTTGAGAACTGGAGCAAGCTGAACAGAAGAATAGAACGAGGGGCTGCGAAAGAGTGACCGCAAGCTAAGTTCCTAAGCGTCCTTGCTGTTGGAGTATTTGATGATTTGAGCTGCGGATTTTGAAGATTATGAGAGCTGAAAATGCTGCTGGGATGGCGCACTCGCGGATTCGAGGTGTTCGCGTTGTTTACGATGCAGGTCTGCAGAGCCGAGTGAAAACGGAGAAACGTGCTGGGAGTTTCTAGTTGTGCATCTCAATGCAACTTGAACGTTTTCGAGCCAGCGGTTGTGATTCTGAGATAAGGTTAGTCGCTGAGAAAGCATAAAGAGAAAGGTGCACAGGGCTGCGGCAAGGATGGGAGACGCCAAGGGGTTGCTTCACGTGATTGCCATAGAACATAACTTACCAAATTTTACTGGTTTTTGATCGAGTGGAAAGCTCCAAATAAAATAATGCATTAGAGAAGAGGGAACAAAAGTGGCGGCGAGGGTCAGCAGCTTTATGTGCCCTGCAAGAGAAAATTCGTCTGCACGTGTTTCTGCCAGTCATCAGGTTGGTGCCGCACTTAACTTACGTTCCAGAGGCACGTACTGCGCGGTGGAACGCAGAATTTCTCCCGTATTCCATCAACCTATAGGAATACGTAAAGGGAGGGTGACCCATTTTCCTTTGTACTTTTAGCGCCGGAAGTACCACCCCGCGCCACGTTCAAGCGTTCCACGAAGGGTGTGCATCGTTCTCCCATCAATATGCCCAGATCAGGATAGCCAGCAACGCAAGAGGCTTGAAACTCACGCAAGGCATTCTCGGCGTGGAACGGCCATTCTGACGCAGGCTGGCAAGCCCTCGACCAGTTACAACAGGAAGCCACAATGGAATTGACAGAAGGGACGGTCTGACAGTCACGTGACTATCTCTGGCATCTCCGACGAATTCAATGAACTTTGAACGGCATTTATAACTATATGACTATACTCTTAGAAATTACTCTCTATAAATGCACTACGATCATCATTACTTGGTCCTTGAAGCTCTTTGCCTCAATCCTTCACCCTCAGATAATGAGATGAGATGCATATGCTCATGACGAAGAACCTCACGATGGTCATATACTCGCTGGCTTCGCTCATCTGTTTTAGCACTCTATCAACATAGACACTTGAACAGAATGTGGACTCAAGCTGGTAAAGAGGGGAGGGGAGCGCACTCATCATGAAGCGTAACGTAAGGCATGCAATGGCGACCCCGGCGAAGCTGATAATTGCTCCGACGAGCCCGAAGACGATTGCGATTGCAGCATCTGGAGACACTAGTCGGGAGTTATTAAAGAGTTGTAGGATTGGCTGATGGTAAAGAAGGGATGAGAAGAGGCGAGGCTGACGGAATGGTGGGGTGTGCACGTGATGGATATTGCTGTGGCGGCCCGACACTTGGAAGGCGCGGTAGGGGGGGTGCTTACCCATGATTGGCTCGAACTGGTTTGATTCTTGAAGATTGGCTGCGCAATCACGGAGAATTGAACTGGAAAGAGCGGTTGTATATATAGCGCAATAGAGGAGAGATGTCAAGATCAATCCAACTGACTGGAACCCTGGCCGCATTGAACAAACCCTGCAACTTTGTGCGGACTAACTTGAAGCGGTTTTTTGGCTTCAGATGCATGGCGTTGACCAATTGCGACTGCATGAAACTGACGGTGAGCTGTGTGTTGATCTGGAGGCTCTGATTGAGGTCGGGTCCCGCAGCAGCTGAGCCACCCGAGCCTCCGACACTCATCAATTTCGCGATGCCACACCACGGCTGGGCGCGCGCGGTCGTCATGAGGGGATCCCCCTCGGATTAACGGTGCTCATCCGCAGGCCAACGCACACATGCTCTGAAATGGGTGTGCTTTGCTGCAAGCCAACAGATCTCAACCTATGGGAAGGAGCCGGGCAGACCAATCAAATTCCTTGCTGTCTGCCACAAACGACGTTTGTGCTGCATATCGCTTGATATGATTCGCTGCTTCGTCCAGGTAGCTCAGACAAGTGCAGCAACCCACTCACCACATGGCCGTGCGGGAGAATGGAGGTCGGGTCGAGGGGTGCGAGGCGTGTGAGGCGTATGTGACAGTGCCCGAAATGCGTTAGTTTATGAGCGGGAAATGGTTGGAATTTGACAACTTGGACTTTACGCTCGAGATGGTGGTCGAGAGTGCCGGGTTGGCATTCGAGCTGAAGGTCGATGGATTTAGATATGGGAGAGTGGAGGCGGAGTTCCATTGAGTGCGTGTTGTGTAGGCGAGAGGCCATGAAGCGCAGCTGGACGGACAGCTGAGCAACCGCAGAGAGCAGCAGAAATACTTGCGATGGATGGACGTGCCTTTAATGTTCAATCCATAAATGGACAGCGATTGGTAGTGCTCTCCTGGCTCGGCCGGCCTCATAGCCAGGACCAGAGCTACGGGAATTGGTGCAGCCCCAGGGCACGGCAGGGCCAAGGCCGAAGTCCTGTTTGTCTGTCTGGCTGTCTTGCGGCCTTGCGATCTTGTAGCCTTATGGTCTGGCTATCTGGCTATCTGGATGTGGCCCGCGACTGCACCCAACGGTGCCGTCAGCCTTGTCAGAACTCAGGACGGATCGCCCACCTGGAGCGACTCGGATGATCGAATCGTATAGTACGGCAGGCAGGCAGCGACAGGAAATCCCTGGGCCAGGGGGCGCACCCTTGGAGGCCGCAGCGAGTGTTTCGGCGCGGTGGTGTGCACGGCTGGGCGGTGATTGATCAGGACCATGCCCCCGGACCCGACATTTTGGTTGGGCCCAGAAGCCACACGGGCCAATGAGAGCAGCGGCCGGTGCATGGCGGCAGGCGCCGAAGACGAGCCAATATTAGCTACTTTTTACGCCGACTAACACCAGAGAGAGATGAGTGAATAACTGGGCAGCCTTGCAGCAGATGCTCTGTCCTAACATATGGGCGGCTTCACTCATTGTGTTATGGTTAGTCGCCACTAGCCGAAACGAAGAGAGCCAGCATTACACTTCCTGCAGCCAGGAAGTTGCACGGTGGCGACAATCACCATCCTGAAACGGGAAGCGATGTAATGAATAGCCAGCACTAGTCCCAAGCATCCGTCCATGCTTGGCATTCAGTCGAGCGCTCGTTCCGAATTTCATGAGGACTGACTTGGACTTCCACTACGACTTTGTGATCGAGTTTCTTTTTTTAAGACCGCGTACTCGAAGAGCCTTCCAGTTCTCAGAATTATATCCGAATTTTTTGGTAATTTGCGATACGCGATACGAAGCAAGCAGAATAGCAGGATAGCAAAGGAACAATAGAAGAGAGGAGCCACTCGGCTGATGACTGGGCAGTAAAGAGAAGGCGCCATAGCCTTGCTAGCTCAAGCCGGGTTTGCAATGACGTCTAATCGACCAACGTTTGCAAGTGAAGACGATATCTACGGAACGGTCTTTGCATGGCAGAAGCTAGCTATTGTTTCCGTCGAGTGCCGATAAAATGAGCCGACTTGTCCTAACATAAAACACCTCGAAAACCTAAGCACTCTATTAAACGCCTTTTGCTTCTCGAACTCCATTCACTCCTTTATTTGTTTGAAATGTTTGTCGTAGTTCGATCCATAGGAAAAAATCACCTCTGAGGCGAGGCGAAGGGATCGATAAAAGTATGCTCGTGTCGAAGGATTTGCTCGCGGACTGGAGAAATTCGGTTATTCTTATTCTCTGCGTATAGGTTTATTAGCTCTGTGCTGAAATTAATGGTAATCGAGTATTAAGTAGTGAGAGAGTAAGGGACAGTGAAGGCTAGGGGTAAAGTTGGGATGTGGTACCGATTTCGAGTGTCATTGCGCGTAGCGTTAAGTAGTTGATAATAGCGCCAACGAGGCCGATGAGTGTGCTAATGAGCCCGAAGGCGATGCTGATTGCGGCATCTGAGGATACTTGGGAGAGATTGTTGTTAGATTATTATTGTGAGTAAGGCTGAGGTGAGAAATCCATGATGCGTGGAGTGAGGCTTGCACGTGATGGCTCTTGCTTGACCATGAGGAAAGATAGCTAACCCATTTTTAGTTGCTGAAAAGTCGCGGCGGAGGTGATGCAGTTAATGAAGAAAGATGAGGGCAAGGAAATTTTCGACGCGAGTCTGCATCTTTATAATAATGCACAGGGCGTTGAGTGAAAATGATAACGGAGAGTGGAAGACTTCTAGCGGGGTTGAAGACTTCCAGCGGGGTTGAAGACTTCTAGTGGGGTTGAAGACTTCAAGCGAGAGTTGAAGACTTCAAGCGAGAGTTGAAGACTCCAAGCGAGAGTTGAAATTGTTTAAGCGAGGGTGAAAATGATTTTTGGGGGTTGAAAATCATAACCGAGGGGTAAACGAGGTTTCGCGGACAACAAGCAACGCAGAAGTCAACCGCCGCATTGCGTGGCACTGCGGCCTTGCTGAGTAAATCTGACTCGCAATGAATCCTGTCCATACCGTAGCAGTAGAGGCGCAGATCGCTTGCCAAAGAAGGGGAGGATTGTAGACAAACACCCCTGCTTGTCTACATCCCCTGCCAATTGTAATGGGGGTGTAACTGTTATCGGTGCCCAGCTCACTGGCCCGGCTACTGCCTTTGAAAGCCATTCAGCTCCCTCAACCTCTCAGCCTCTTACTTGAGAGGGGTATTGCCGACTGACCTTAGAATATGAAGGTGAAATGAGGGGTATATTGCGAAAGACGGTCGCGACAACGTATCGGCGGAGCCTTGCCCTGGCAAGAGGATAATGAAGGGGGCATTCGCACGACTTAGATAGCAGCCAAGTCAATTTATTCTCCCAAGGCTCTGAGAATCAACTGACACCACCTGCAGACCAACGAAGGACAATTCGCAGCCTCGCAAGCCGCAGATAAACGAGGCCAATCGGGCACAACCTGAACCGCCACCGGGAAAAAGGTCGATTCTCTGAGATCGATGGCCTGCACCATCATCGTACCGCCAGCCTACCTCAACCCACCTAAACAGATATTCTGGCTGCTTTCGAAGATGAACACCACGCTCGCCCTGCATCGCAGACCGCAAGGAGATCTGCTCCCAATTCAACCGTGGATTTGACTAGGGTTGGTTGGAAAGCAAGACGCCCTAGCTCCGGATGCCCAACCCAATTCCCATTCAGTGAATGTCGGGCTAGACAGGGCCCATTAGATCCCGTGATGCCCGGCAGCTAACAGCATCACAAAACCGATAAAGGGATCTCACTGCCTCACTTGGAACAGGGATCACTACTCGCCAGCGCTCCACAACCCAAGGGCATAATATTCTCGAATAATCACGTGAGTAAACTTCCTCGCGGTCCGGAAGAACTTTCTTCCTTGTCCCGTGTGAACTCGATCACAAGTAAAAGCGAACTCGTCAAGCATGAACACCGCTCTCCCAGACTGCGTCCCAGCAAACGGAAGACCTACAACCTTGTAACTGATGATATTCTGGCCTTGCGTATGAACGACTTCCGCCAATTAGGCAATACCGAACGCAATCGCAGCTCATAATCGTCGGAAGAAAGTAAGCGCGAGATATGCGAGAGTGTCAAGTACTACAAAAAGATAGCCGTACAGGCTGATGTTCTGACCTAGCAGATTGGCGGTCTTCCCCAAATGCGAAATGTCGAAGGACCACGTTTCAAAACCAAAGGCCAACGCGACGCTATACTTCGTACAGTTTCTTGCAGCTCTGCTCGCTACCTCATCTGACCGGTATTGATCATGGATAACTAGCACCATACGTAGCAAGCCACAGACTACACCAAAGATCGGCGTGGAGTAGGTGACACCATAGTAGACAGAGGACCGTTTTAAAAGGTCACGCTGATTGTGCGCTTGAGCCCCCAAGGCCTCGTCTTCAAGGAGACTTCCCGTCTTGAAGACAATTTTGAAGCCCGTTGACAGTGCGCCACAACAATCACGAAGAAGTCAGAACAACAATACAGGAATTAACGATGGGAGATAGGTGCCACTTGGCTGGTAAAGGGGCCTTGCGGGGGAAGCCTTTCTAGCTTTGCTAGCTCAAGCTGATTCTACAACGATTGCCAGACGAATATTAATTCAAGCCATAACGGAATCAATGGAAGGAGCTCTAAGACATCCATCGGCACTGTTTTGGCCATCCAATTCATCCATCCAATTTTACAAAGTGGAAAGCATTTGGGTATCCGACACGAAAACTAACGCCAGCTACCAGTAGCCCTCGAAGCCCGAACTCCGTCCTCATAGCCGCAACTTGGTATTATCGTCGGCGTCTCATGCCATCCAAGGAACCCGTCTCCGATGCCATGCGAAGGGAACGACGAAAGAGTGTTCGTGTCGAAGGATTCGCTCGTGGTCGATAGGCAGTTGGTTGTTATTATTTGCTTAGAACCCGTGTAAGCCATGAACTGCCATGAGCTGAACTGAAAGTCCCCCTCTTTTCTCTCACCCTCTTGAGAGAAGGGAAGGAGAGCGAGGGTGGGGGAAGTTGAGAACAGGGACGCACTAGTATCAAGACTCATTGCTCGAAGGGTGAGGTAGCTGATCCAGACGCCGATTAGGCTAATGGACACACTGATAAGCCCAAAGGCGATGGTGATAGCTGTGTCCGAAGAGCCTTGAGGGAGAGCGTCAGTAAGCTGTGTGGGTCTGAGAGGACTAAATTGAAGGAAGTGCGGGCAGGGGCGAGACGAGGACGGGGCAGTGGAGTAAGGCTTGCTATAACTTTACTCGCTCCTTCGTGGGCCAAGACAACTCACCCATGTTGGGAATGTCTGCAACTGAACACGCGCGCTGACAGTCTCGATAGTAGGAAAGGAGAAAGGGTGGGTCGGTTCAACTTCTTTATAAGGCGTGAAGAGTGGTATTAGCAAGAAGGCTTGGCTGGGTAGGGGAGGCAGGCCGAGAGGGCTGCCAAGTTAGTTCCCCACGTTCGGTTTGTGGGAATTTGCGTACTTACTGAGGCGTCGTAGCTGTCGAAATGTGAAGGAAAGCGAGCCAATCATCTTCTTCAATTTGGTTCTCTCCGCAGCTCGGGTTGTACGAGCGACGCAGGATATGGCGCAGCAAAGGCCATGATCCACACCGACGGCAGACGTATCTTCGATTCCGCTAATCGAAGGGAGCCTTAGCGGAGTGTATTACAAGCGAACTGGACTCCCCTTTAATACGCGAACATTATAAGAACGATTCACATAGCGGCAGGTTGCGTAACGGAAGAGACGATTTTCAGCGCCCCGATGACTTCAAGACAGCTGCTTGCAGACTCTTGCGATTTAGCATTGAAAGCTTATTGGACCTCAAGGGGGAAACGTCACCACTAGCAATGCGAATATCAAGCCATGACTTGAAGAGGGAGCTCACCGTTGGGGCAATGCAAGGGCTGGTTTTAAGCCGGTTAAGATCCTGACGCCTCAACCCATCCTAACAAACCAGATACAAATGAAAATCAGGCGGCGAAGTTGCGGATGTTGTCGGTGATCTCGCTAAAGTTGCACCCCCACGCCTTCACGCGACCAGGCGGGCGACGCCCGCCCTGGATCTGCATGGACGATTGCGTACCGTCAACTTGGTCGTCGTTGGTGCCCAGCGTGAGAGACAAAATGGTATGCACACGGCCAGCCTCCGCTTAAGATGAGCAAGTGACGCCGAGTACCAAGAAGCAAAGAACCGGAGAAAGGATTATTGACATCCAGGTTCATTATTCCGGCGGCAATACTATTGGTCAATGCCGAGTCACGTGTTACCTCAAATTCTGGAAGAACTTTCTTCCTTCCGCTTTCCTCCCCAACCCCAAGCAGATTCAATTTGCCAAAAGCATGAACAACTCTCTCCCAAACTGCGTCCCAGCAAACGGAAGGCCCACAACCCGACCGTCCGCACCCTTGCCAGCTGTGGTCCTCAGAAACCAGCAACCCCGCACCTCGAAACGGAATTTGTTTGAAGGTCAGCCAAGCCTCTTCATCTCAACATGATTGACCACTGAGACGACCCCACTTGGTCGTGCATTGGTGTGCGTCATGTAGATTGGGGTAATGCGGTTGCGACTTCCTTTTTCCTTTCTTCGCAGTCCCAAGGAACGGACCAGTGCTCCGACTTGGAGACCGCACGTGATTTAAATCACGTGTTGTGGGAAGAAGAGTTTGGATGCTGGGACCCGAAGATGGAGAAGGGAGGTTGATCCCGAACTTAAGAGTTGCGGGATGAGGCGGTTTGTGGATTGGGCTGCAACCTAGCAGCGTCCCGCTCCCGTGGCAGCAATCGCAGATGCTCTCCTGCATGCGAGGGAGTGGACTTCCACTGCATGCACGTCTAGCCTCGAGGGGGTGAGCACGTCTGGAACCGCACCAACAGCCTCGCGCAAAACACCAACAATTTCCGACCCCACACCCGGAAGACGAGAAGCGCGTTAAGCTCAGCAGGTTTTACCCCTTTGGCGTGCATTGGGTTGAGAAGAGCGCGTCTGCGTGTTTTTATTTGTCGTGGTGTGGCGAATGGAGATGGACGGAGGGCGTTAAGCGCTGGTGTTAGACGCTGTGAAGTGAGTTGGTGACGGGCTTGGTGCGCTGATTGGGTGCGCGCGGATGCCTTACCCGTTCTGGAAACCTTGAGGCTGCGGCGAGGAGCTGCTCTGGGCTGCCATCGAGGCCGAGGCTGGTGTGTCTCTCTGGAGATGGGAGAGTGGGCGGGAGGAAGAGAAGAGTGGGCAAATGAGGGGCGATGAGGGCGATGAGGGCGATGAGGGAGATGAGGGAGATGAGGGCGATGAGGGCGATGAAGCGTGATGAAGGAGTGCTGCGTCTGTGTCGAAGTCGCGCACAGCAGGAGTGATATCATATGTCTGAGTCGTGAAGTCGTCCCTGCTTCGGTTGTGTCACCAGCGTGGTGTTGAAAGAAGAAAGGAATGCATTGGGAGGCGGTGAGAAGCGAGCTCTGATGACGACGGCTCCTCGGCTGCAAGCCTGCAAGCCTGCAAGCCTGCAAGGCATGACCGGGCGTCTGCGGTGTGGCCTCCCGTGCGATAAGATATCAATCATTCATGGCATCGCTAAGCGTCTGGCTGTTTGTCTGCTGCATTGCCGTAAAAATAGTTTCGAAGATGCATAAAATGAGTCCGCTCCCAGGGGCTGCACTCTGCTTGATGTTGTTGTTGGTTGATCTTGGGAGACGTCCAAGAAACGGGAATGCCCCCTTTTCAGACTGTGAGCTGGTGAAACACCATAATGACTGGTTTATCGAGCCGTGATACTTGATGCTTGGGGCCGGATGCAGTCGCTTGGTATCGGCGTCGTGTCCGCTCGAGCAGCCAGACTGCGCTGTGCTGGTCCTCCCTCGCCTTCTGCCAGTGCTGGCGACGTGTTGATGCTCACCAATTGCCACGGATCAGCAGCAGCAGCAGCAGCAGCAGCAGTGCTTTCCAGACACTTCGAGACCCGTGGGTCCATCTGATGTCTTGGCTTGCAAATCAACACTGAGGCAAACTCCTCGCAACGCAGAGCAAACCGTCCCAATCCACGTCCTGCGCGCTGAGTAATGCTCTCCTCCTCCTCCTCCTCCTTCTCCACCACCACCACTCACTCCCACCACCACCGCCGCCCCTCCAGCCAATGCATTTCCAATTGCTCGCTGCCGGCCCCAGCCGGGCCTAGAGATCAACGAACCAGCCCTCGCCGCCGCCATCCAGAACTCCCAGCCTGCATCTGCGCCTTCAGCCCAAGCAACGACGCTCTCGCTTGCTAGTGAATCCACAGTCCACTCGCTCCGCTTCCCCGTCGCTCGCTCAGTCGCTCCAGCCAAAGCAGCAGCAGGACTCGGACTCGCCTCGCCGCGAACCTCCCTCGCCCTCGCCCACGGGACTTGTCCGACGCAGCACAAAACGAAACAGCCTCCTCCTCCTCCCCTTTTACATACAAGCCTCTGCTATACGCAGTACACTCACTCACTCCCTCATCACAGCTCACCCTCTGCGGCTGCTTCGTCGTTGTGAGCAATTTTTCGAAACTGTGCCAACCCGGCGCTGCATTCTCTCTGGAGCGCGCCTGCCTCGCAATTTCGCCGGTAATCAAAGCACGGCCGTTTTCGTTCCTCGAGGCCCTGTCTCAGCGAGCAAAGCAAATCTCGACCTCAACCTCCGCCACAAACTTTCTTTCCTCACGACACCTCCCGACCATCACGACTCACACGACGACACGCCTGCATCCTCCCGGCGGAAACCGAGTCTGCGAGAGCCATACCGCAGATACCGTGGCAGAGAGTCGGCCGCATTGGACGAAGGAGTCCGGGTCCTGCGACACACTTAATTCCAACACCCTCGAGGGCAGCAATTCGGAGGAACCTCTCCTCTCCCCTCTCTCTCTCTCCCTCTCTCTCTCCACAGTATCACCGAGCTCCTGCTGCATCGATCCCATCGAGTCTCTGCTATCGATGTGTCTCGCTTGATATCTCACGGCCCGTTTGTACCATCATTCCACGTCCATGCCCACATCGTGATACCCCAAGGCTCGCGACATCCGATCACCTCCCGGGGCCAACTGACATCAAAACCATCACAACCTGCATCTCGCACACGCCGCCATCCCGAAATACATCTCGACCCGTTTGAGCAAGCTGCATCTGCTTGCCGGCCAAGGACTATAATCCCGCTCTTGGACGCCAGCTGAAACGCTCTTGACCAAGACACCCTCCTCCATTCACCGCGATTGTGCGGAACGACTCCATCATGAGGGAAGTCAATTTCAGCATCCCCAATGTCAACAAGGCATCGGTCGGCATCACCACCGCCTTGTATGACCGCCGAGCTCTCGATTGCACGTCGACGCTGCCGCTCATCAATTCTCTCAATCATCTCGCTTACCTGACCACCTCCTCGGCCCGGATAAGAGATATCCTCACCGTCGATGGAGGTGTCGAACGACTGGTATGCCTTCTTAAGGCGGGGCGGAGTAAGGATATGATGGACATGTGGAAGTGGAATCTGGCGTTTCAATGCGTGGTGAATATTGGAGTCCGAGGGTCGGAGAATGTGCGGACAAGAGTGGTGGAGGCAGACATGGTTCCCGTCATCGCTACAATACTCGACAATTACATCAAAGTGGTTGACAGATGTCGAGAGAAGGCGGAAGAAGCAAAGAAGGCACAAGAGCAGCGGCTCCACCACACCTCACGATCGAGTGAGCACAGAAGCTCCCACAAGGGGGCCTCATTTGGCAATCGTGCCTCCCGGTTTGAATCAGAATTTCGAGCATCTCGACGACAACCTCCGCCACCATCTATCGACATACCTGCTGCATTTGCGAACCCTCCTTTGACCGGTGGCTTGGATGCCATGGACACAACCCCGACTGGGCCTCAATTCGCTGTCACATCTCCTCCTGAGCGAACCACGTTCTCCGTCAATCGACACCATCACCACCACCACCATCACCATCACAGAGGTCAAGATGCCCGACAACACTTCTTACCCCCGTCTCGACACAACATCCAACCTCTTGCAACAGCAGTTCCATCGATGGACACAGCGGACGGATTCAACATCAGACCAGTTCGTGATGTGGATCGTCTGCCATCAATGGTTCCAGGTTTCCACGGCGGACTGACATCGCAGCCTGAATCTCCCACTACACCTCTTCCTCCTACTCAAATGCGTTCCCCGACTGTTCGTCCCACTGCTCTGTCAGCACCATCAATCCGATCACGAAGACGACCATCAATCCGACATCAAGCATCGCTAGTTGGAGAGTCGGAGGATCCAAATGCTGACAGCATGGCATCGGACGAATCTGGGGAACCAGAGATTTCCGCAGTCCCGGCGGATATTCAGACGACAGTCAACATTCAGGACATTACAATGGATGAGGGGGATAGCATGCTCACAGCTGTGGAGACTCCTCTGGGTTTGACAACACCGACCGTATCCGAAGCACAAGATGCAGGAACCTTCAACATCACTCACCGGTCTCCTCTTGATGGAAGCTTGATCAACGACGCCACAACTCCCACTGGCCCAACAATGGGTCTCTCACCTGCTCAACCAATTGCTGCGAACACTCCACCTGTGATGCCAAATGCCACAATTCCTCGATATCTCCTTGACCGTCCGACTCCTACAAACGGCCAAGTTCTTGCTGCGATGCCACGGGATGAGGATGTCCTGATGTCTTTGCAATTACTCGCATACGTCTCAAAATACTGCAATCTACGATCATATTTCCAGCGCTCACATCTCGTTCCGAAGCTCAAGATCGGCTCGGAATTACACCTTCTCGATATGGACGACACCAATCCATACTCGCCATCCTCGTCCTCTCCCATTGCTTCTGCCTGCGATTCCGAAGAAGAGGAATACCTCCTCCCAGACGATTTCAATATTTTCCCTCTCGTCGAGAAATTCACGGTTCGACACCATAGCCAGGATATGCAATACTGGGCAGGAGTTGTGATGAGGAATCTGTGCCGCAAGGACGACAGTCGAGGCGGGATTAGACAGTGCGCATACTATCAATGTGGGAAATGGGAGGAGTTCACAAGACAATTTGCCAAATGCCGACGATGCAGGAGGACGAAGTACTGCAGCAAGGAATGCCAGAAGAGTGCGTGGGTCTTCCACCGACATTGGTGTGTCGCTGCCACACAATAGCACAACCCAGATATCTCCCGCGCGAAGCTCTAGCTTGAAGCCAGAGAACGAAAGAACGACTTTCCTAATAGTTTAATGTCAACATCACACGAAACATCGAATCACATTGAATCAGCGAAGGATGCATCCACCGGACGAAGGAATGAAGCGGTTCCCTTTCTCTTTCTCTACATTATATCATCGACCGACGATTGTCGACGTCGACACGAAATGAAATCACAGCTGCATATCAGGGGCGTTTGTTCAAGGCCATATCGCTTTTCGATACCTTTGCTGCAAATATTCCCTTTGTCCTTTTTATTGGGGTCCGAAACGAAACGAGACCCTTGAATCAAGGAATCGAATCAATCAGTGGCCTATAACGATTAAAGCCCCTGGATTGACGGCTTTCGTTTACAATCATGGCTTGCACATGGCATTGTTTTTTGTTTTGGTGCTGGATTGGTCTGGTCGTTTACCGCGGACGAATTGAATCGAGGAGAGAATGGAATGGAATGAGGATGGATATGAATCTCAACTACACACGCAAGTGAGGGGATGGAGAAATTGGCTTACATTTGGCTGAGATGGTAGCTTCAAGGCTTGCAAGAAGCTGGAAAAAGTGATAAGCGGAGCTGAGGGGACGAGCGGGCATGAGGACGGGCAGGCAGGCCTTGTATGTATGGTTATTGAATGCGGGTTGGTCGCACATGCACAGCACCAGTGTTGAATAAATCTGGCACTTGAACAAAACTGGCAACCATTAAGAAATCCTCCAACTTGACATGGCAAAGTTTCCAAACCTGATGAACGTACTCCAAGCAAGTGCTTATTAGTCAAACATCACCAATACGATTTCCGGCTGCGTGGGAAATACGACGTCGCCTCGGCCCGTTTCTTCGCTCGGTTGTCATCGCGCTTCAGCGCACTAGCTCCAGCGAGCTCCTCCCTTCCTGCCCCCTCATTAAGTCTTCTCATCACCCCACTCTTTCTTTCTTGATCTTTTTCCATCCAACAACGACCGGTATCTTCTTTCCAGCTAACAACGGCCGGCATCTTCTTTCCATCCAACAAGGACCGGCATCTTCTTTCCATCCAACAACGGCTGGCATCTTCTTTCCATCCAACAACGACCGGCATCTTCTTTCCAGCCAAGTCGGCTCGTTCCATCTGCTCTCCCTTCCGGCGCCATCGACCACACACCTCACATCACCGCAGTTCAAAGGTCTGCGCCTGAATAAATTTCTCGTTCTGCAACTTGATTGCCTCGCCATTCATCATCCCATGTACATAGCATTCGCCGACGAGGCGGAAATAGAAAAGGTTTTGCATCACCTCATCAGTCACCTTGTCTTTCTGCATTTTCTTGCCTGCTTCAAATTCCTTCTTGCCCTCTTCGAGCTCGGCTTGCCGCTCCTCCTTGGTCAGGGGTCTGTCACGAACCCTGGATTTCTTGGTGCCATCTTGCGTCTTCATCTCTTCCTGTTCGGCACCGGATTTACCATTCAGCGAGACGTCGTCGGGTCCATGGCTTTCATCGAGGGAAGCAGCTTCATCCGCAATCATTGTCTCTGCGTCTGAGACCACGTTCTTGTCGACATGGGGAGGTGGGACTTCCTCCGTGGATTTTGCGGCCTCTGTCGGCAGCGATACTTTCTTCGGTGCTTCTGCCTTACTAGATCCTGCTCCGTCTGCGTCCACAGCCGGGCTCCCCTCCGGTATCACTTTCAGCGAAGATTTGCGCCTTTCAAGCGGTGCTGCCAGCTTTTTAGACTCCGCCAACTCTTCCTGGTTCAACGGCCACGTTCCTTTCCCACGACGTTGGCGGTATGCACCCATGCTTGACGACCCAGCCTCCCCTTCTCGAGTGCTATCCCGTCTCTTCCTATATCTATATCCGCAGATGGCTACGGCTGCTTCAAGGTTGCTGTAAAATTGTTTGTACCATTGATCATATCGGTCGATCAGCTCTGCTTTAAGTTCTGCTGGTTGTTTCTTAATCTTCTGGAGGACCACAGGCACACTGCATCCGTAGAGAATGCAGACTTGGAAACCTGCACTAACATCATCTCGAACTATCCCTAGACGTCCGTCTTTCGTCCTCATAAGCTGCCTATTCCAAATCACCTCTTGAACCCTTCGCAGGAATTGGGCAACAATTGTGCAGCGGCCTTCCTCGATCAGCTTCCTGCAATCGACGTATCCACCGGTCTTCGACATCGTCTTGGCCTTGTATCTCATGGACTCCTTGCAAGCTCGGGGGAAGTACGTAGGAGGATTATGGCCATTCTGAGCTCGGTCTGCAACAAGTGTGCGCCAGAACTCATCCGGCGGGTTTTTGTCGGTATCATCCCAACCTCCAGCTGGCAACCAACGGTACGGTATATTGCCATTGGCAGCAAGATGCTCCACAGTTGCCACCTCGTCAAGGACGAACCCACGAACAAACATACTGTACTCTGGATATGTTGAATTGGGCTTCTTCAGGGTTGACCATTTCCTAAATTCGAGCTTGTCAAGATCTAGTTCCTTTTCTCCTGCAGCGGTGTAAGTCCTCCGTCCAGATTCATCAGGGAGCCCGACCAAAGCGTCTGCATTTTGACGTTCCATTCGAAGTCCCACGGTCGGGTGCTCCTCCATTTCAAAAGCAGCCCCGCTCAGTCCTGGAATCCATGAGGGTAAAGGAATTTCCCGATCCTTCTCTTCCACCTCTTCTCCCTTTCTCGCTTCGAGTTTCTTGTGCTCCTCCTTCTTCAGATGGCTCTTCCCCTTCTCCTTCTCGTGTTTCTTGTCCCTGGCAGGTTTTAGGAAATCGGGGTCGTCGTGACTCTTCATTACAGTTGGCGCCCAAGCACGACACAAGATGTCCAATGCCCTCTTCTTGTCTGCTTTACGAATAGAAAATTCAATGAATTCTTGATAGACATCAATGACAGGGAGGCGGTAATCAACGTTGTACGCTTTATTGGCGAATCCCTCCTTTGGTGCAAACTTCAAGGCAAACTTTTCTTCCTTTGTTAGTTCCTTGGTATCCGAATCCTTGAAGAGGTTCTTGGGAGTAGTCTCCTTCGAGATCGCGAGGAGAGCGTAGATCGTGTCACGAGGCTGTGTAGCCTCGAAAACCGAGAGTCGAGAGACCAGGAATTCTAGTGAGGAGAGAGGCATGCGTTCACCAGACATCGAGTTGCGGAATAGATTGCTCGTAGCGTCAACAAGCAGCGCCGCGCCTAAAGATGAAACATCTCCAAAGAAGTTTGGGATGTTCCCAAATGACCGATCCAGCTTCATGACGTCGGACAGCCGATGCGTCGCAGTTTCGACCTCGACAAAGAGGGAAACAGCGTCGGCAAAGTCTTGCCATGAGTTCGAATCTTTCCCGCAATAGATGGTGCCGCCACGAGGCGATAGCGCTATTTCCTGCACAACCCATCGTCTGGAAAACCAGGGCCTTTTCATGAGTCTGATGAGCGCAGCCCAGTGCTTTGCGAGTTTGGGATTCTCGATCAACTCATCGAACGTCCAAAGTTCCAGTACTCTGTCTCTAATAAAGTCCATAGCCGTCTTGCTGTCTTCGCCCTCCTCGCCAAGCCAGATGCAAACCTTCTCCGCGCCGCCATAAATCCTGTCCATCCGTGGCACTTGCTGGTTGCGCTCCTTCGTATCGTTCTGGTTGATACATATTGCGTCGATCCATAACTGGCGGACCTCATCGTTTGTGCGCAAGGCCCATAGAGCCCGCTTCAAGTTTTTGGAGATGCGAAACGCGAAGACGTTGTCCCCATCATTGACGCGCAGCACCTCGTCCTGCGGCTCACGTCCCCAACACCACGAGACTGCCTCGTACGATGTCTTCTTCTTCGATGCTTCCTTCCCCTTCGTGTCTTCGTCTGGGATCATGGCTTCCCTCTCAACCCCACTCGGCCGACGAGAAACTGGCGTCTCTTCCTCGACATCTTTTGTCTCGTACTTCTCCAGTACTCGTCTCAGCTTCAATAGTTCAATCGGGTCGCCGAACTCAACAGTCGCCTCGCCGCTCTCCTTCTCCTCCCCTCTCGGCTTGTCAGGGGCAGCCTCAGGGGCGTCTCCCTCCCCCGGAAGGTCGATCTCGACGATCTCGCAATCGATATCCAATTGCGTATCGTTTGCCGGTCTGAGCCTGAGAAGACGCAAGGCGTCGGCGTTCTTGAGTGCTGTGTACTCGTACGGCGGCAACTTCTTGCGTTTCTTCGCCTCCTTCACCTCCTTCGCTTCGCTCGCGTCCGGCGTCTCTTTTAACTCGGCGGGGAAGGGCATCCTGGAGGCGATCTTCGGCCAGCAGGCGGTGTCAGTGGACAATGCAACGGACCGATGCATAGCTAAACTCGCGACGACAGGATAAACAGCTCTGTTATAATTAGATCCCGCCTTCCCAGGAAGAATATCTGCTGGGGGGGTGGGGCTGAACAAATTCAATGTTGTGGGAACCGGGACATCCCGTCTGCAGCACCACGCCCCACCGCGGGAACTGCGCCGGGATCTGGGGGATCGATTTTTCGGGGAAGGGGGGGGGGGAGAGTCTTCATTGGCTTGTGTAACAGGGCCGTCAATGTGGGGGGTGGGAACATGGCGAACGGGAATCGGCCGGGTGTCTCATCTATCCAGCCAAAAATATCACTCTCGCTGCAGGCGGGAAAGTGCAAGTCATGGGAGCGCCACACAACCTCTTTCTGTTCCTGTCCCTATTCAGTGAGAACAACGTGCCATCAATCAACCCTTCTCATTCGAGAATCGGGGTTATCTTTGAAGCGCCCCCATCTTGCGAGTGTGGTTGGTTTGGCCTGGGGAGCAGCGCCAGCACTGACACCGACACCCTCCATCGGTCCGGGAACTGCTTCCCGTGCCGTGCCGTGCCCCATCGCGCGCGAACCGAGGTGTGCGGGTGGAAGCTTGATTTCTCTGACCGGTCGGTCTGGGCATGCAGGGGTGCCCCTTTGAAATTTTGAGTGGGCGGGCGATCGGGATCTGTGTGGGGAAGATGGGTTGGGGTGGCACCTGGTGGCGTCGTTCGGCGCTTAGAGAAGGTTTTTGCAAAATTTGGAGGTGGTGTAGGTGGTGTCGCTTCTTCAGGTGAGGATGAGGCTGAGACTGAGGCTGAGACTTGGCTCAGGTGTGGTGGCACAGGGACGAGGCTCTGATGGGATTGTGTGAGGGTGAAGATTTGATGAGCTGTGAGGACTCTGGCTCATATCCTAGGTCTATTCATTATACCAATCGACTTTGGTTGGGAAGGCAGTAAACCAAAGAGTGAAGGTAAGTCGCGCAAAGTCTCAACATCTCGATCAGATTTGCATCCGCGGTTCTGCGTTTGGCAGGCTGTAAGATAAGTCGGTCGGTCAGTCAGTCATATGTTTGAACCGACTGACTGATGTGATTAGTAATCAAAGTCTTCAACTGACTGACTAACTGATTTCGACTGATCAGCTGCTGATTAGTTGGGCTATATGCTAACTGATTGACTTACTTGGTTTTATTTCCTCGACTGATGGACCGATTACTGATGAAACAAAAATTTCATAAGCGCTCCCCTTGCATATACCCATGAGTTGGAGCCACCTTGGCGAAGTATTCCAAAAGCCAACCACTTCTCGCAAGGCAAATTGCTTGAAAGCGGTGATGCAGCCAGAAATACCGGTATGAATTCTTCTAAAGACACTTTCTCTAGCTACTTATTGAAAAAAAATTGTTCGTTGTTCATGGAGAGTGTGGTACGGTACTCTGAGGTAAGAAGTAATCGGTGAGTACTACTTAAGCGCGAGAAGGACTTCCATCACTCTTAATGTCTTCGGTCCACACCTCTAGCGACTTGTGGCCGGAATGTTCACCCACCATCCTTGCCATAACTTTCAATTTCCGGCGCATGACTGTCAACCCTTCGCTAGGTAAATCTCCGATATCAAAGATTTCCTTAATATCCCCCCACAAAAGATTAGAACCAGCTTGAGAGATCAGTCCTATCTCAGCCCTGTAGACATGAGGATCAAGGACGTAAACACCGTTATAAAAAAACAAGATGCATACGCCACGATCCCAATTAGCGTTACTAAATTTGAGCGAAACCATGCCCCATATTTTAAAACCACTCTCCAGGTGCCAATACCGTTTGCAAGAGTTCCATTTGTCAGCTGGGGCGACAGACTGAATGGTAAAGTCAGTTCCTTCCCTGATTTTCAGAGGTAAAGTCGGATGCCGGGCAGATTTTGGTGCTTGTGTGAGGAGATAAATCGCCCGAGGTCTCGTCGATTCTGTGCAAAACGCATCGACATAGTCAATGTGTATCAAGGATTTCCTGGATCTGATGAAACCGTCAGGGCTTATCTTATCCAAGACGACACCCCAATCATCCTCCTCAAACCCCGACCTGGTATTACTTATAACCAAAACATATTTGCGACCATCACCACAGCATTTACAGCGAATAAAAGGACATCCTTGCAAGCATATCTCGAGCAAACTGCAATAGATCTTAATGCCGCGATTTGTGACTGAGTGCTCGACTGACTGCATGATATTATAAGAAGGTGGGGTCAAAAATTCGCTTGGGGATGTTGCCAGGACGCTGTAGAAATCGTCTCGATTGTCATCTCCATGGTCACAGTTGAATTTACAGCCATCCTTGAGTACCGGTTGGGAAATGACCGATAAACAACTCTCTTCGGAAGTCCATCCAAATATGCTGAGATCACTATTGTTCTTGATGATCTCTTCCTGAAGCCGGGTGAAGGCCTTATTCCCTTCTCCGTATAATAATGGCATGTTGACATCGAAGATTCCAAGCAGACAGTAGGCCACATCTTCCACTCTTGTCGTTTTTCTTTTTGAGGCCCATGCCATTCGCTCCGCAATGGATATATCGGCCAGCATTTTATGACCCCACAAGACGGCGCGGCCGATATGCGTTATCGACCAAAGAGGCTCCGCCAAATCATCCTTCGTACCTCGAAAACCCCAGGTCTCGTCGTAGAAACGTACTGTCTTGGGCGCAATCAGCTCCTGGAGAGTCCAGCCCCGCGTGAACCATTTACAGCCTTGCAACTCATTGCGGCTCGCCAATGAATAGTCCTGACGGCTATCGTCGACCCCCAGATATTTCATGACAGCGTCCTGTCTCGGTGAAAGATCAGACAGATATGCGTAGCAGACAACAGCGTTCTTATACCATTGAAACATGGAATTGATAGCTTCAGTCAGCTCTGCGCTGCTGCTTTTATCGATACAACAGGTATCCACCCAGGCATATTTGATATGATCTCTAGCCGCAAGGCTGCACGTCCACTCGATCTTGGCAAACCCCTCTTTCTCGATTGTGTCGGCGTTCGGGCAGATAAACTCCTGGAGAGAGACTTCCTCTTCACTCCAGGTATGGGATAGGATTGCGTATTGGGGTGCTGGTCGCACAGTGAAGTCCTCGAGCTGCATGGTCTCGACGTTGATCAACCACATCTTGGTCGATAGATCTCCGACTTCGAAGGAGAAATATGATGCGACGTATGGCTTGCTACTTGAACGGGTTTTCAGGTTGCTGGGAAAGATGATGTGCAAAGCTCTCGAAGTCCCGATGGTATTGAGAGAAGGCTTGGTGATCGGCGTTGGAGGTTGGTTTAAGCAGCATGGTAGCCTGGTGGCTGACAGGGGCCTCATGGTGATCTGTGCGCAGGAAATCTCCCCCCTTAAAGTCTAAAAAAAGGCACAATCTTTGAAAGCGAAATTGTGCCAACTACAATGCTGGCTTGAGTTTAGATTTTGATTTGGCGATATAGGGAAGTTTGGAGAGCGGTGGCGTTGTTGGGCTCTTAGATAGCCTCGGGAGATCTGGAGACTCGAAAGGGAACGATAATTTTATTGACCTTCTCGTTTTGGGCCGAGCATTTCTGCAACATATTGAGATGAAAGTGATGGACATCCCAAGTATCGAAGAAATCGTTGGCTTACAGATCTGGAAACAGATCGAGGAAGTTGTGCTTTTGGACACACTGAAGAAGTCAAGATAGTTGACCATCTTCCACATAAAGAAATCTAACCGTCCAGGTCCAACTCCAAGTCTGAACAGAATACAATAGCTGAGCTAACACTCGCAATATCCGGGTATTGATACTAAACTATCAAATGAAGTTCCTCCTCTAAGATGAGTGAGAACGGCTACCTCATCCCTTGCATCTCTCAAGTTCTCAACCTCCGCCCGCAACTCCTCCCCACTCTCACCACACACACTATCTAACCACAAAAACCTGTCCGTAATCCTTGTCACCACATACCAATCTGCCTACAACACCTCCTTAACTATCTTCAACTGTTCCACAAACCAGGCTCTCTCCGGTTTATCCAAGCTCGCAATGCCGCCTAGGACGAGCCCCCAAAGCAGAAATTTGTCTAAGTGGTACTGTAATTTTTGGGATGCGCAATTAGAGGTATTCCTCTGAAGTACCAGAAGGCTGGATATTCCGATCACGGCTTTCAGGCGCGAGACGTAAATCTGCAGCATATCGTACGTATTGGGTAGCGGTGCAACAACCGCAACAACCGCAACGCCGAAGATCATCGCTGCGAGGATTTAGGTATGGTGTTGGTTCATGGCCCAGACTTTCACGGAGGCGATGTAGTTTTCGTGACTGCGGAAGACGGTGAGGATGGGCTGGGAGAAGGAGTCCATGGCGGACATGATGTCGCCGCTGTGGTAGTAGGTGTTGGCTTGTCCCTCGGGTCAGGGAATAGAAGTGAAAGGGAGAGGAAACCGAACCCGACGACCGTCTTGGCTAGGCCAGGTATTTGGAATGTCTCAAGGCCTCCTCTGAGATTTGGCAGATCTAGGACAGCTTTTCTGCGCTCAAAAATAGACTTGATATGTCCGTAGATGTTCAGCCACTGTGCTTTTCTTAGCGGAAAGTTGAAGGGCCTCCTCTTCTCCTCGGTGACTTTCAAGGTCTCGTGGAAGACGAGTACCAAGATCGCGAGGATAATATCGTCACTGGAAATCTCGCCCCCGTTTGCAATGACCTCGTTGAGCTTTCTGATTACGAGTAGCTTGTGTGGGAGCGCCTCCACGGAATTGGGATAGATCTGATTATATCGAAGAAAGTCCATGTGGATCGAGCCTGTGAAAGTTAAAGTATGAAATAAGAGGGGATTATCCAGACTCGCTGTGAACCGCGCCTTGGACACTATGTTCGCGCCAGAGCTAGCGCGAACCGGAAGTTCATCATCGGGACATAGCCGTGGCACGAAGCAAGTGGCAACGGGGAGCGTGAGGTTTTGTCTGACCGAGACAGGGGCAGCTTCAAGGAGTCGACATATCGAAATCCATCAACTCGTGTAAGGAGTCACTTAGATTCTCAATTGGATAGGTTGAGAAGGGATCACTTCGACCAGAACCCAAGATCTCGAGCAAGCCCAGCTTAGGTTGCTTCTTCAATCCCTGATTTGTAGAACGACAATTCATGATATCCTGTCTACGCGATGATTGAGATGTGGACAACGGAATTGCCTTTTGCATGCTTTTCAATAGAGTCTATTGTCCTCGCCACAATCTAGCTCGGCGGTTTCTGAAGATTCAGGAATTGTTGGTGGGGTGAACTGTAGAAGGAAAAACTCAAAATCTGGATCACGAACCACGTCTGGGAAGACCTCTCGTACAACCGCCTGAGGCAGGAGAGGTTGCCATTGCCGGCTCAACCCCATTTCCTCAATCCCCCACGCAGTCTTGTGCTTCTGATTGAACTCCTTGGCCGCAAATTTCCGGACATGGGATCGAATATCTGGTCTATAACCTATTTTGTACTGTCTATGTTGATTGGTCTGTTTCGACAAATAAGAAATTTCTTATTGGAGTTGGGTATGCCTGCAGTTTGCGACGAGTGGGAGTGCATAGAAATGCTAGGATGTGGAAAGCAAGAGTCCATCTTTCTCGGGCTGCACTTGGAGCACTGAGGAAGTCAGTAATCTCGTTGCTATCCCTCTGCGGTCACTGCCCTTTTCGGGACGTCAGATATGATAACCTACAAGTTAGATAGGTAAGACAAGACTCCTCAACCTATAAAAGACAACAGGATTGCCGTAAATAGACGGTCAAAGTATCATCCTAGTACTGTGGATATCAACGACTCGAGTTGCTATCCTTTTGCGGTCACTACCCTATTGTGATATCAGACCTGAAATCTTAAAGATTCGGTAGATAGGAAGGACTTCTCGACCGAGAAAAGACGAACAAGATCCACGTCAACGCACTGTTAAAAGCACGAACTGAGGAACTGATGAAGCCCATAGTTGTGGGTAATATGTGCGGCAGGGTGGATGATTAATTGTTGTGCCTGCTACAGTAATTGCTACTTGTCAATCGATTCAGATGCAGTGGTATCCATTTCATTTTCTATTTGTCGAGCCGGGCCACAGGACCAGTACTTAAACAATACCCGCATCTGGTATTACGCCGACTAAGTTACTATTGCTTCTGGTTATCTATGACTTGAATAGCAATTCTAGGAGTGGAGCCCATGCATCCCTCCTTTGCCACTTCTGTGGTGTGAAGATGGTCTTCCAATTTGCTTTGAACCTGACGGTAACGCTGGAAGAAGTGTGAAGATACCTGTGTCCATGCCTCCACTCTGTAGTGCCGGTTTCCCCATTGCACCAAAGGTTATTGGCAATTCTGGCAGGTTAGACATTTGCCACCCAACAGTCCTGAAGCTGCTTCAGCCAAGTTTCCACAGTTACATAGGAGCCACCTTCAAGAGCAACTTGGCGTTTAGGAACGTTCCGCAACCCATTCCGAGGGAAATCTATCAGAGTATGTTCGTACTTGGAGTCCCTAAACAGGATCCTATGTCTCTCAGCACAATTCTCACATAATATGCTTCCATCACAGTCTTTGCAAAGATGAAATCTAGGCCCTTCATATTTCCCACAGTAACAGCAACCTGGCCAGCAAACCCAATGCCAGTGGTCGCGATGGTTAGGGGAAAGAATACGTTCCAATGCGGTGAGCCCGTTTGGGATATCCCTCCCTAAAACCAGACACCTTCCCAAAGCAATCCAAAGAAGCAATGGCATGTATCCTCCGGAGCAAGACTTCCATCGAGGGTCCGGAGGTAACAAGAGTTGCGAAACGAGTGAGTTAACCGAATTGTGGAGACAAGAACGAAGAATAGCCAAAGGTATATGTTCCTCGGCGTGAAGGTCGGAAAGCATGTTTGCAGCAAGCTCAAAATGACCGTCTTTCGCACGAGATAAGGGCGTTCGGCCAAAATAATCAGGCTCCGAAATGTTTGCGCCTGCTTTGATCAAGAGCTCCATTGTTTCCAAGCGTTGTAACTTTACGGCAGCCATCAGTGCAGATGGGCATGATGGGCAACGGGCGTTCAAATTTGCGCCGTATTTGAGAAGCTCTTCTAGTATGGCGGGCTGTTGGTGTGTGGAAGCCACATGTACAACTTTTGAGCAGCCGTTATTAACAAAAACATCTTCATTCAGCAACGACCCAAGATCTAGAAACCTGGAAACCAACTCCAGATTGCCAACCCTGACAGAGGCGTAAAGAGGAGTACCGGATTTCCTGTCGTGGACATTTGGATCCGCCCCGTAGTCGAGCAGTAGAGAACAGATGTCCGGTCGACGTTTGCGAACTGCCATTGGGAGAGGGATTCCTTTGAAACATAGGTCGTAAGCATCCTCTTTCCACCCCGCCGCATTTGGCGTGAAGCCTTTCTTCAACAAGTACTCCGCCAAAAGGAGACACTCATTTTCGACTGTGGCGCTCACTAAACCCTTGAGTGATTCGTGGTTAATGGTCTTAAATAAGTCATCCAGGAAGGGGATGAGAGCTCTGGCTCGTACTTCATCGGACACCTTTGATACAATACCACCAGCCAATTTAGCCAACTCCTCAGATTGCCTATTAAGCTTGCTAAACAGAAGCTCGAAGATCGAAAAGTTGGAGACAGAAACGGCCTCCACGAGTGCGCAGTGACTATACACTGTCGGATCTCCCCCGTTTTCCAGCAGCAGTTTTACCATGGGGAGATCTTCCTGGATAACAGCGAGGCAGATCGGGTGAGTTGATTGTCTACAACTTTTGGTTCCAGCGCTGATCGGTGCACCAGCGTCAAGGAGTGTCTGAACGATCGAAGTATCCCCCGTTATAATGGCGTTTTTGAGAGGAGTGTCGCAGTATCTGCGGGCGTAAGGCTCTTGGAGCCTCCGATGAGGTGAACTCCAGTACGTATCTCGGCATGGACTGACGCTGTTCAGCTCTGAACCATTTGATATCAAAGCTTTCACAACATGGTTGTGTTTCTGCGCAAGTGCTGCACTGAGTGCTCCTCCGTAAAAACCACCCTTGATGTTGACGTCTGCTCCATGACCAAGAAATAAATTAAGGATTCTCGTGTTTCCACTGAAAGCAGCAGCCTGCAATGGAGTGCCAAGGAGGCCACCGAAGGCGTTAATATTAGCACCTAGGTCGAGCAGGTGCATAATGACTTCCTCGCGGTTTGCAAGAGCAGCTGCTTGGAGGGGACTTCCCAATTCGCAGTATGAGAAATCAATACGCGCTCCAGCTTGAATTAAGCCTGTCACAACTTTCATATTTCCTTGAAATGCTGCCAGCTGAAGTGGAGGATTGCCGTCACAGTGCCTGCCACCATCGGGAAACGGTAGCATCTTAAACCGACGCAACTCGTCGACATCTGCGCCATTTCGAATAAGCAGTTCCACTTTATCCCAAGAGTCCGATGGATCGAGAGCTAGCGTTCCTAGAAGGGTATCTTGATAGGAGTTTGGGCGAGGCAAGTCAACAATCCCCCCCTTTTCCAGCACTTTGTTGAAAAGCGGCCAGAGCTGAGGATCGCTTGCTCTAGCGATAAAAGAGAGAAGTGTTTCCCCGCCATTGAAGACGTCAAGGCGTGCTCCTAAATCCACCATTAAGCCCACAACATCCCAATGCTTTTGGGATGCCGCCGCAAGAATGGGAAATTCTTTCCCTCCCCAGGATGAATCGGATTCGACGTTCATGTCATGCCCCTTCTCGACAAGTTTCTTCACCAGGCCTGCGAGCCCGAGACATGCAGCATAACAAAGTGGCGGACCTTTTTGAATCACAACCAAAACCCTTTCCTGCTCGTCTTTCCACCAGTGCGCCTGCGCGAGGTTCGGGTGCCATTCATAGCCATCAACAGGAAAATAGTCACACTCAGATAATTGTTGTAGCCAAGACTCAAAGGGTCCAGCCATGTCCGAATCGACGAAGAAGCGCCATAGGAGATCTTCGAGTTCTCCCTGAGAGGCAGAATCTACTTCCTTGTAGTGACTATCCCAGTGACTCGCAGCATAGTCTACGGAGAACGCGGCATAAAGTGACGGGATTACAGGTGCATGCATAATTATAGGGCCACTAATAGGGCCTGCAGTGTCTCAGCGAGCCCTGTAAGCCCCGTAATTACCTTCCAATAGAGGCGTAAGGCCCCTGAAAGCTCCCTGAAACATAATGTAGCCCGATTGGGAGGTTACATTAAGCCACAGGCTTTGATAGGGCCCTTAGCCCCTGTATTTTAGGCGTGCGTCCGCAATCGGTAGCGGGGTAAAGTGAGCTTTACCCCCCTTCTCACCCCTCCCCAAGCTCTTTACTCACTCTCTTCTTTACTCTCACTTTCCCTTAGCAATTATGGCTACCTTTGGTGGTTTGTTTGACTTCCCTGATTTATCAGATAACCAATCAGAGCTCTCCTCTCCTCCTGATTCCTCCGATTCAGACGAATCAGCCTGTAGCGTAGCTACTGAAGATAAAGAGGATGCCTGGTATAATTTACCATCTGATTCAGAAGATGAAGACGATGATTCAATTGCACCAAGCCTTACCCTCCCTCTTCGTCCTTCCACAGCCACCTCCACAGCTTTTACTATGCCCGATATCGTACGCAAAGAGCATTCTACTGGTACCAGAATCAAGGCTATTTATATGCTTGAGCAAAGACGATCTGCAGGCGATATCAAGAAAGCTACAGGAGTATCCAGAACTCGTGTTTATGAGCTTGCAAGCCTTGCTAGGCAGCGTGGATGGAGAGAGCATGAGGATATGCCCCTGGAAACCTCTCATGTACTCAATCAACCTCGATCTGGTAGGCCAGCAATCTCGCCTGCTGTAATCAAGTGTGTCTTGCAAGTGGTACTTCAAAATTCGACTACTCGTGGTTTCTCCTGTGCTGTCATTGCAAAGGAAGTAAGGAAAAGAGGTCACGAGGTTGCCCCCCGGACAGTTTGGAAGGTTCTTACGGCAGCTGGCTATTCTCAGTGCAAACTGACAGTAAAGCCTGGTTTGAACAAGTTCAGTAAAAAGGAGAGGCTAGACTGGTGTTTGGAGCACGAGCATTGGAGTCTTGAAGATTGGAAAAATGTGATTTTTACAGACGAAATAGCAGTATAATTAGGCAATACACGAGGGAAAAGAAGGGTCTGGAGGCTTCCAGGGGAAGCTTATAACAAGCATTGCATAAGGAGACGCTGGAAAGGCTTTTCTGAGTTCATGTTTTGGGGATCGTTCTTATACGACAAAAAAGGGCCATGCCACGTGTGGGAAAAGGAGACAGCTCAGCAAAAGCGAGAGAGAAAAGCTGATTTGGATGCAAGGAATTCCTTAATTGAGAAGGCCAACAAACAGAAGTGGGAGAAAGAGCAAAGGAAGTGGCTAAGGGACTGGATCAAAGTCCATGGCAGGAAACCTGGTGGAACGAGAAAAACATGGAAGCATAATGAGAAAACCGGAGCTTTTGTGGTGAAGAATGGACGTGGAGGAATCAATTGGTACCGATACCAAAGGGAAATCCTTACTGCAAAGCTCTTGCCCTTTGCAAAGGAATGCCTGAAGGATCGTCCAAATACTATTGTTCAGGAGGACAATACACCAGCCCACAAATCTCATTACCAATAAGGGATTTACAACCTTTGGAGGATCATGAAAATGCTCTGGCCAAGTAACTCACCTGATCTCAATGCTATTGAGCCTATGTGGTTTTATATAAAGAAAGAAACTACAAAGCGGGGACCTACGAGCAATAGAAAGAAGCTAAGGGTGAGGTGGGAGAAATGCTGGGAGGATCTCCCTCAAAGAAAAATTCAAGAGTGGATTGAGGCAATTCCTCATCACGTGAAAGAGGTAATTAGATTGGAGGGAGGGAACGAGTATAAGGAAGGGCGAAAGAAGGGCCAAGAGAAAGAAGCAGTATATAGCTAAAGTATATCTTCAAATATGATCAATTTTATCAGGTGATTTACCCCACCTGCAAGCCCCTTTTTTTAAGCGAAATAGCCTTCAGGGGGCAAGTAAGACCTTACAGGGCACTTTAGTGGACTGCATATAATTATGCCCTGTAATCCCGTCACTTTATGCCGTGATCTGCGTAAGAAGCCATACTTCCGTCCTCGCTCCTTGAGCTTCGTGGTCTCCAAGCACTGGCCGTCCGCGAAGTCATCCATCATGATGTATGTAATACACGTTGCAGCAACATCATGGATTATTGCAGGCGATCCGCCGTAGAATTCCGCGACCTCAGTGTCGAGAATCCGTGGTGAGAGCAAGAACTCCTTGATCGAGAAATGAGAGAAGTTGACCGTCTCCTGATCATCATGTCCGGCGATAATCACCAGGCCTCCACAGAACCGAAGGATATCTTCCGGGTCTGTCGGCACAGCAGAAAAGTCCATTCGAGCCTGCCCTATTTCAATACTGATGGCCTCGGCAAGCTCGCGCAGTGTGAGAGGCCTCAGAGAATGGGTGAGCCACTGGAAAAGTTTCTTGATCGTGATCGAATCTTCTCCCATCTCGATGCGGATCTTCGAGAATGCTCGGACGTAGGTCTCGTCGAGGCCCTTGTGGAGCTGGGTCAATGCAACACGAATCGATTTGTCGGTTATCAGTGTGCATAAGACGTCGAGCTGGCACTTAACCCACTGGAACCTATAGTAAGCAATGAGTGTGTTTCGAGTTCAGATTGGCTTGTGAAACGTACATTCCATTCGCACGAGAAGTAAGGCATTGGAAAATTTCTTCTTGCAGGTTCGGATCTCGAAGCTTCAACTTCTTGCCATTTATCATTTCTTGCAGCCGTGACTGAATATACAAGTCAATGTCATGTGCATTGCTCGCCTCTGCCAAGGTGATCTGTAGCAAATGATCCAGCTGCCTTTGAATGTCCGTTTCTTGTCGACTAGACATGAGTAAATTCAACCTCGATGACTCCGATTTCGAAAGCTCGACAAGGAAGTGAATAAGTTCTTCACGATCATTGCATTCATCTAAAGCATCAAGGATGATGAAGTTCCGCTGCTGGAAATCGAGACACTTCTTCAGAATGGAGCAAAGAGTCGGGAACGTGCATTGAGATTTGAATTCTCGATATTTCTTGGATATATCCTCCACGTAAGCGAACGCTGCAGGGCTTTGGCGAGACATCGATACAATCAGCGTCTCAATCGCTTTTCTTGAGTCTCGTTTGCTGATATCTTTGTAGTCGAAATAGAAGTAGCTAATCGTGACTCCGTGGTCGTCTTCAACGAAATTTCCAATGTGGTCGATTATTGTTGACCTAAAACATATTTCAGAATCAAGATTAACTTTCACGATGGTGAAAACATACATAAGAATTGTCTTCCCCGCTCCAGCTGCAGTTTCGTGTTTGTTAGCAAAACTACTCATAAAGCAGAAGAAGAGATAGCTAGTACGTTTTGCATGAAGCCACAATGTAGCATTCTGCTCGTTCTCCCATGTCTTGTAACTATCGTCGGCAAAGATCCAACCTCCGGTCCCAGGCAGGTGAAGTTTGACTGCATTGTAATGATTTATGCTAGGATCAACACCTCCAAGCCACTCAAACATTTCTCGGCATCGTTGGGCTTTCAAAAGGTTAGAAAAATGTTTTGAGGACACGAATAACCACCAGGAAGCTATCATTCTAGTACACATACCTGTAACGTGACCATTGATAGTCACCCTCGCTATGGAAGCCTCCATCTTCTCTGCAACATCTGCCTCCTTCTCCACGCCTTCGAGCAGTTCATCCAGCTCCTCGAGCGTAGCTTCAAGTTTGCTCTTCACCGGTTTCCACAAGCTCTTCAACGCAATCGCCGAGCTTGTGCCTGGGAGCCCTGGTTTCTTCCTTCAGCCATTATCTCATCTCACCCCATCCTTCTCCAAGTCATCAACGAAGAAGATAGGGCTTACATTTCATCCTCTTAGCGCTCTTCTCCTTAAACACACCTTTACAAAGAAGACAAATTCCCAAAAACTTTCCATACGCCTCGACCAGAGCTGATTTCAGGCGTTCCGAAGTGGGGTACAGCCGCGCATAGATCTCAAATCTTCCAAGTGACTTCCCAAGACGACGGAACATATCGACAATTCTTTCGAAGAAGTCGATGAAGTCGCCAGCAAGCTGCAGCACGAGTTTCGCAGCACCCAAAATCAATGCCAAGATTTCCGGCTTGGCGTTAACGTGGACGAACACATCGACAGCCTTGCCATATTGCTCTGCTCCTCTGACAAAAGGTTCGATGCCTTTCACATACTTTCGAGATTTGGACTTGTCTCTGTGCTCATCCTCTGCTTTTCTGACTTCGGCGAGGATATCTTCAGCCGTGCACGAGTTGCCTAGTAGAGCGAGGTCGTCGGCGCTCAGGGAGGCGATAAAGAACTGTCGAGCTTCGGCAAACGCGTCCATACTGGCTCGTAGGTCGGGATTGTCCTCATGTATGGGGTTCATGTGGAGTTCGTGTCTTGTGACGATAGAAGAGTCGAGAATCGTGCCTGATCGCGCTGCGTTGCAACCATACTATGTGTGAGGCTGAGCAGGATTGAATGATCAACACCAATCATGTGAGAGTGTGGCGCTCATGTGATCTCGCCCAGCTGCAGGCTGCTAGGACGCGGCATAAACCTCAACATAACTGATGCAGGGAGAACAGTTGTTGAAATGATATGCGAGAAGATGATGATACTTGATGATGAGAGGGAAAAGAGAGGTTGATACTGTACGAGAGTCGTCAAGGAAATCCAGAACTTGCACTTGCAAGCGAGATGACTCGACGTCAAGTGATAGAAGGAGCAACCATACAAATATACTTCCTATCCTCTCCCATAATTCTAGTTGACCTACTTAGCTCATTGCACATATTCTATTGTCACTAAGAAACATTTCCTTATTTCATTTTGTCCTCCCTCTGTCTTGTATCTTCATCACGTCATTAGCCACTTGTCCTCAAACTTCAAGCTCCTACTTATAATCTAACAGGTCCAATACTTTTTTCATAGAAATCACACTCTTTCAGGCGTTTTTTCGCCCATTGGACGTTGAGTTTTTAGAGCTGATATAGGTTCAGATTGATTATATCATTCAAAATAGCATTGCTACTTCGGCCATTAAACTCACGAAGTTTTTGAAAGTATCCCTGTGAGTTGGAGTATTCATATTGAAATTACTCCCGAAACTCTCAGCATCTGAATTATCCAACCAAACCCTTATCCACACTCAAAGATGCGCCATGGCCGGCCGGTATAACCAGAGTGGCTGGGGCTACCAGCAGTTTGCTTGCGCGCGCTCAACAGCTACTCCAACCAATCATCAAGCTTCTGCCCTCTCAAGCTCAGATACCACCTCCAGCCCAATTCAGCACTAGACACAGTCCAGAGGTCTGGTAACCAAGAATTAGCCAAGAAGGGCGCCGAGGACTTCGTACGTGACCACCGCCGACTAGCCACAGAAGCATCCGGCGCGGTGGCACTCGCCCAAGCCAGGATGGAAGTGTACATCTTCAAACCAAGACTGATTGAGAGTGGCCCTGGCACGTTGGAACATTCTAGTTACAAAGAGAAATCACTTGCAAGTTGAAAGTGCCTCTATAACTCAGGATTTTCGAGTCACAGATTCTCAGGTGACGCCAATTAATTACGCCACTTCAAGCTGAGAAACTTAAATCACGAAATTATTTAAAAGTAAGAACTACACTACAGCAAATTAGGACAGTGAAATCACCAGCAATTTGAGAGTGCTCTTGCAAGTTGGAGTTTTGAGAGGTATAATGGTAAGTTAGCAGATTCAAACCACGAATGGGCTTATTTACACCCTATTTAAATATACTCCTCTAATCTTAGACATTGAAATCCTTTATAACACAGCTATTCTTATCTGAATGCTATTTGATTGTGCCGCTCCAAATTAGAACAATAAAAAATTGCTAGTTAGAGAATGCTGTTGCAAGGCAAGAAATTCAAAATCTTAATAATATAGCTATTCTCACTTAAAGCCTAATAATTGATTATATACAGTGTATCAAATGATTTAGCTTGATTTGATTATCACCTCTGAATCAAATCAAATCAAGTCAAAATTTACTTAATCAAATCATAATCAACTATAATCAACTATAGTTAATTATAGTTGATTATTTAGTCACGTGACCGTACACGTGCGCTCGGAGGTTGGAAAGCGTGATGAGGCTAAAATAAGGTTTAGGCTAGCCCATATCCGGTATCGCTTCAGGCGCTCCTTACTAAATCGGGTATCGCGCCGCTTGGTAAGCGAAGCGGGACGAGCCGAAGGTGCTAGAACCTACTCGATTTTCTAGTAATTCCTTGCCACCTTATAAATCTTATTATTATAAATAAAATAGCTAAAAATAAACCCTCTGATAAATAAATGCTTTGAAATTAGGGGGCTATTGCTAATCAGACGCTTATTAAAGAATCTTCTAGATTCTAGAGGATTTATATATAAATAAGTGATTTCCCTTAAGTTACTTTCTTCTCTCCTTATTTCATATATAAATATCTCAATAACTATAGCTCTAATTAAGAAGCTTTCGACTATAAACCTACTTATATTTACTCGATATATTCGAAAATGTCTCAATAATCCTCGATTAACCTTAATATCTTTCAAAATAAGGAGGATTTTGAGCTAGAATATAAGGTATATAATAGCAGAGTAATATATAAATAGTTAAGGTAAGTAAGCTATAGAGTGACGCTTGCAAGTGTAACTGATTCCAAGAATTGATTCTAATAAAAGACTAATTAATGCCTCTTTCCAAAGCTAGGAGCATCTCCCTATATATTTCCTAATACTTAGCCAAGCCTATAAAGTACTTTACTTAACTAAGAAATATAATCCTATATAACCTATATGATTCCGATTATAAGCTTTATCCAAAATAGGAAACTAGATCTATAATATCTAATACCTATCTATATGCCATTATATATACCTATTATATTAACTTCTCCTCTAGGCCCTTATTCCTAAGAGGCCTGAGAAAACTATAAATAGCTTTATAAATAACTCTCTAAAACTTTTCCGGCTACTAGTTCTTTCTAAAAACTTCCTATAATTACCCTATTATTATATCAGGTAATGGAATTAAGAATATAATTTACTAATCCTATCTAGTTAACTTGCAAATTGCCTCTAGTAATTCCCTCTTATAAAAGTAGTACGGATATAGTATATACTATTAGATATAAAGCTTTTCCGGTCTCCTAATTAGTTTATAAATCCCAATTTAGCCTCTATTTGTAAATAAATTATTACTTTATAGGCCCAAGAGCTTGGAAAAGTTAATCCGATTTTCTAATTTATTTATAAATTCCTTTTTTGGAATTTTCTAGGTATTTCTGGTATAGAACCAGTTCCGAATTCGTAATTACTATTTGGGAAAAGGGTATTATAAAAAGATTTCTCTTTTTCTATTAATTAATTATTTTTTCCCTTAATTATAATATTATATTTAGCTTCTCCTTATTTCTTGCCTTTCTTTTTCAAGCCTTCTTTAAGTTCTTTTAAGCTCCTTTAAGCTTTATTTAAGTTCTCTTTTAATTTCCTTTTTTACTTTTTTATCTATTAAAATAAATACTTCTTTTAGTATTTATTAGCCTATTATTACTTATTTGGCTAATATTTCTATATCCTTAATTTGCTCTTATTATCTTTAATATTTTAAGAATATTACTAAGTTTCCTAATCTCACTTATATTAAGAATAATAATTACTTAATATATAATTACTACTATTCTAAAAATAAGAAATATAATCTTATAAACTATAAATTCCTTTTTTTATTTCCTATTCTAATACTATTTAAAGTTCTTCAAATATATATAATATAGTTAAACTGCCTTTTTCAAGCTATTAATATATATAAGTACCTTTTCTAATTTTTATCTAAAAGAAAAAAGACTATTACTACTTTTTTTTATACTAAACTATATATATTTCTTATATTAAAGCTATTATTCGAGGCTAATAGATTTCTCTAATAATTTAAGAAATAGATTAAGTAATTCTTATTAGCTTAATATAAATATAAAGTATTTTTAATAATATAATTAATATTCTTTAATATTAAATAAGCTTATTTCTTTCTTATTTCTTACTAATAGCTAATAGTTTTATAGGCTAATTTATTACTTGTTTCTTAAAAGAATTCTAATAAAGATAATAATAAGGATAATAGAGAATAGTTATAAGAATAGGATATTTATAGAATATAGAAATTAAAGTTTTTAGAGTTTTTAATAATTTTTATATAGGTTTTTTAAGAATAAATATATAGTTTTTAATAGTTTCCTAATAAAAGTATTTATTTTTTATACTTTTATTTAGCTAATAATATTATAATATTATTCTTTTTTAAGTATTTTTTATAATTCTTAAGCTATATTTTCCAGATTATTTAATAGTTCCTATATATTATCTGCTAGTAAATAGCCTTTTTAATAAACGAAATGCCTTTTTTTTTAACTTTTCTTATAAGCTATAATAAATTCTATTTCAAATTCCTCTTTATCTTTAATTTTAACCGGTTCTAATTCTATTATAATACTAGCTTATAGGTATTATAATTCTAAGAAAGAAATATAAAAATAGTAATTCCAAATAATATATCTATTTATATATTCCTATAATTTCTAGTATTTTAAAAGAGTCGAAATATTTATTTACTAGCTTTATACTAGGTTATAGCTATTAGGTATTCTTTATATAAAGTATAACTTTATTATATATATTGAATTCCTTATTAATATACTTTTTATTATAATACTTTTTCTATATATCTATTACTTTTTACTATTACTTTTCTAGTACTTCCCGTTTTACTTGAATTTTCTATATTCTTTCTTATATTACTAGTATTTCTCTTTCTGGAATATTATTCTTAATATATAGTTTAATACTAGAATAGAATTCATATAATATATAGAATAAAGAAATTTCTATTATTAAATATATAGAATTATTATATATAAATTTTATAAGAATAAGCTTTATTATCTAGTTATCCTACTAGTAACTAGTATAGTATTTCAAATACTATTTCAGAATTTGGTTTAGATTCTCTGTTTATCTATTAGTTTATAAGTAAAATACTATACTTAATTATTATTAAATCTTTAAATAGAAATACAAACTTAACTAGAACTTATTTATAAAAACAGATTCTTTATTAGAAGTTATATCTATAAATATACCGAAATCTTTAATAATATAATATATAAATAGCTCTACTAACTTAGGAGCCAAGATGTTTTTAATAATTGGAATATATTATATTATTTTCATATATTTATTAATAATAATAAGTATAAAATTATATATCTTATTATAAAATCTAAAAAAAAGTAGTCCCGTAATAAAGTTTATAGTAATTTCTTATTATAGCTTTAAAAAAAAGAAAATAAACTAAATATACTATATAGTAAATATCTCTT